TTAGGGTTTTAGGGTTTAGGGTACACGGGCCCATATCCACGTCATGGGCCCCTTTTCGTTTTAAATGTGTTGTGTTTTCATTGTCAATTTTGTCGTTTTTTGCTCGAGCCACATAGTGTGTGTGTGTGTGTGTGTGCGTGTGTGTGTGTGATTGTGTGTGTGCGCGCTTCCCAAACAGGCCGTGCACCCTCAAGGCCAGAAGACCGAAGCGCCTACAAGCCAGACACTCTCTACAAGCTCTGAGTATGCAAGCCCCAGCAGCTTGGGATGTTCCCCCTTATGCTAGCAGTCCTTAGTAGGGATTCTAGTACCCCCGATTCTAATCCTGATTAAGAACTGGCCATAAAGAAGCACATTGCTTCCGCAAGCTCTCGACTTGCACCTTTGGTTTAGGGTTTAGGGTATGGGGTTTAGGGTTTAGGGTGTTTGGGGGGTGGGGTGAGCATGGGCTGACGGCCGTTCAGGGTTTAGGGGTTCAGGGCTTCTGGTTTGGGTTTTCGGGTTTAGGGCTTCGGGCTGAAGGAGGGTGCAGGGGGGGGGCGGGGGGGTTGCTTCCAGATATTTTTAAAGGTTTTTTTGCGAGCTCTGCGTTTAAGCGCGACCAAATTAAACTCATGTGGAGCTCCGGCCTGTTTTCCCAACCCTGAACCCTAAACAATAAATCCTAAACCCTAAACCCTAAACAATAAATCCTAAACCCTAAACCCTAAACCCTAAACCCTAAACCCTAAACCCTAAACCCTTGAACGTGAACCTCCCCTTGCAAAGATGTCTCATGATGTGAGGAATGGCTACTCTGTACCTTGGCTGCCCTTTTTAAGGTCTCAGGGTTTAGTGCTCTACCCTAAACTGAGGCCCTGAACTCGAAACCCTAAACCCAAAACCCGACACCCATAAAGGCCCTTGACGCTCAGATCCCGGAACTTCAACCGCCTGGCAGCGTTGTTACTCGTAGTTTTTTGTTGGGGCGCGGGGGGGGGGGGGGGGGGGGAGGGTTAGGTTTTGGGGTTTGGGGTGTTTCTGCGGCAAGGGCTTTGGAAGCTTCAAAGATCGGAGGGTTTAAGATTCTTTAAGGATCTAGGTTCGCGGTAGATGCTGTGTCATTGGAACTCAGAAGCTCAGGAGAAGTACACTTTCCCCAAAGATGGCGAAAAGGTGGACTGAGTCTCTCCAAGGCTGGGGGCGAAAGCTGGGTGAATGTGGGGGGATGGCGCGCCTTACGCCGGGCAGAGACTTCGGGATGTAGGATACAGCAAGCAAGTCCCTTCAAGTTCTTTGTGCTCTCTCTCGCTCTGTCCGGCTACTACCATGAATAACACGGCGCATGCCTCGGGGCATGCCTAAGCTGCACTCGCAGCTCACAGCGCTGAGATTCATTGTGGCTGCAGCTGCTTGAGTTCATGCCAGTTCATGTCATGTGCGAGATGTAGGTGTGCAGGCAAGCAGGATATTGCATGTTCAGGGCTTAAGATTTCGGCTTGGCAGTGTCAGCATGAATGAGCTTGGACAGGTTTTGTGTAGAGGGTTTAGCACAAGTTCCTTCCGTGACGACAACTTGTGTGCCATACAATTAGCCTGCAGCGCTTTCTGAACAAGCGCGCATGACAGCCGCAAGTGTGGGTAATGCAGTCTATCGCCTCATTGAACTTGGCAAGTTCGATGCCTTGCGAAAGTTCGTCCCGGACGAGTTTGACTGGTCTCAGGTGTGTGGCCCAGGCAACATTTTGCCATTGTGTTTCGCAGTCTGGTTCTGCAATTGCAGTCCAGAAATGGTTCAGTGGATGATCGAGCAAGGAGCAGACCCCCTACTTGAACATCCCACCACATCGGCTGTGTGGAAGGCTGCCAAAGAGAACAGAATCGAGGGGACAGAGATCCAAGTTCCATTGGCAGGGCAATGTGCTCTTACCTTCGTTCTTGAGCAGATGGCGCAACTGAAGAAGGGCAAAGGGGGTGCAGACTGGTCCGAAAAACTTCGTCACAAGGAAGCTACTCTAGAGGTTCTGATTAAATGCAGCCCCGCAAAACGCAGGAACCTCTGTGTCCCTCAGAGCTTGGTGGACACGTGGGAATCCGTCCGGGAGATGTCCTCCACGCACAACGTGGTCTTCGAGGCCGCGGATGGTGAGGTGTCGGCGCATGACCTCATCCTTGTTGCTGCATCGCCTGTCCTCAAGGCCATGCTGGAGTCTGCCATGAAAGAGGGCTCCAGCAAAAAAGTTACAATCAAGGATTCCTCCAGCGCGGGTGTGCGCCTCTTCGTGGATATGCTGTACACGAGCTCTACGCGGGACGAGCCCGACTATAAGACCGTGATGGTTGCCCTGGATCTGGCGCATCGCTGGCAAGTTCAGGGCGTGGTAGCGGTTCTCTCGGCCATGCTGCAGAAGATGATCACTCTGGTCGCTGGGTAGGACCTTGAGAACTCGTTGGATTTTCCCGCTCTGGGTTTAAGACAATCACATTTTCATTATTGGGGTTAAGACGATCATATTCAGGAGAATTCTCTTCAGAGAGTTTTCAACGGCCAAGCTAGGACAGCTTCGTCGCCATCGCCGAGGAGGCGGTGCTCAAGGACCTCACGTCGCTACAGCGATCTTGTAGGACCTTTGGGTCCACGAATGCAAAGGTCAGCAGGTCGGCCATTGGCAGATTGTTTTTTGTTTTGGACCTCTCGTCTCACTGGATTCCCCCCCCTTTTTTCCCAGAAGAACACTAATCCCCATGAAACCTCAGCCAACAAAAAATGACAAACGGTAGGTTGCGTACTCCGGTTTTTTGGGGGTTCCGGCTGCAGGCCTTGAACTTTTAGGGCCAAGAAGGGGCCTGAGGCCCAAGCGGAAGTTGAGGGTGGCGTGTTGCATGGAATCTGTATGAAGCCCGGGTTCAGAAGTTTTGGGAATCTGTAGCTGGAAGCTTCAGGCTTCTGGGGCTTAGCTTCAGGCCTTGTTTACTTGGGATGTTCCCCCTTTATATTAACTATGATCATCCCTATAGTGCTGTTAGTATAAGGGGAACATCCCAACTTATGAGGTAGATCCCGTCTTGTCTTTCATGTTGCATGCCTTCCGGGGGTTTTCCTCATCGGGTGGGGCTCCTCACCCCAGGCTCCTTTCAGTCGGAATTAGTGGGGGTGTCAGCCCTTGACAACCGATAGTGGCCCACCAAGCATCTCTAAACCCTGAACCCTATACCCTAAGCCCCAAGTTCAAGCAACGCAGGGGTTGTCAGCCGCTCTTAAAGGACTAAAGGACTCCAGCCATTCTGGCCTTGTTGCAGCCTGGGTCAAGGCCAAGGGTTGTCGCTACACCCTAAACCCTAAACCCTAAACCCCTCCGCCTCTAGGTCAAGGCCATGCTGAAGAAGGGCACTTTGCCCGCAGCCGTGCGCAAGCTGCTTGGGCAGGCCGAGGCCCCTGCAGCAGAGGAGCAAGGCAAACAGAAGAGGCGACGGACCTTCTGCGCAAGCTGAGCAGGGTTTAGGGTTTAGGGTTTAGGGTTCAGGGCTTAGGGCTTAGGGCTTAGGTTTAGGGTTTAGGGTTTAGGGTTTAGGGTTTAGGGTTATAGCTCCACGTCTGTCTCTGCGTGACCTGGTTCAGATACCACAGTTTCGACTTCGCTTCCCACCTCATCGCCACATCGCCAAGTCAAAAGAGTTTCTTGGGTTAACCTTCGGGGTTGCCCTCAGATCGCTGCATGGTTTAACGCTTTGGGTTTGGGGTTCAGGGTTGAGTTCTGGGTCTTGGCCCCCCTTAGGTGCTGAGGGTCCAGGAGCCCTAAACCCTAAACCCTCATACTAGAAGTACTGGAAACCGGCTTCCTTCCGAAGGTTCTTCGTAAGTATATAGCTCCTTCGCTACTAACTTCAACATGGAGAGCCTTGCAGCATGGCCAGAACACGCACGAAGCCGCGATCTTGGGTTGGTGTTTTTGTGAGTATCGAGGAGCCGGAGTAGGCCCTTATTTCCTTTGTTTAGGGTCTAGGTTCCCTTATAAGCCCCTTTAGTCCAGAAAGGGTACCCGTATTTATTCCTAGGTTACTCCTGAGTCTAGATAAGATTGTTGTTTAGGGTTTAGGTTCAAATATGGCCATTTAGGGAAACTTGTTTATTCCTAGGTTGCTAGGGAAGCAGATTTTGGGCTGAGTGGTCAAGCTTGCCTCAAGCCCGAACTGGTGGGGGAAGCTGTCAGAGCTGGCAGTGTTCCACCTAAGGTTTAGGGTTTAGGGTTTAGGGTTTGGGGTTTAGGGTTTAGGGCTTAGGGCTTAGGGTTTAGGGTTTAGGGTTTAGGGTTAGGGTTTAGGGTTTAGGGTTTAGGGTTTAGGGTTTAGGGTTGGGGGTTTGTTGGGTTTTTTAGCCAAGCACTGGACCCAACACGAAGAACCCAAACAAACCCTACAGAGGCTTATTGACCCTACAAGCCCCACTAAACCTGCAAGCCTAAACCCTACAGCCTCCTACACACCATGAACATCCCCACGTCGGTTGTCCCAACCTAAACCCCTATAAGCCCTGTACCCTAAACTTCCCTAAACCCCTGGAAGCCCCAAACCCCAAGCCCCAAACCCCAAACCCCAAACCCCAAGCCCCAAACCCTAAACCCTAAACCCTAAACCCTAAACCCTAAACCCTAAACCCTAAACCCTAAACCCTAAACCCTAAACCCTAAACCCTAAACCCTAAACCCCTGTAAGCCCTTCAAAACTTCCTTTGGTCCTGCCAGGCCTGGGTCGACTTCGTGTGGAGGGCGCCTTCCGCACAGCCACGTGCCAAAAAGGGGCGCCCCCTCCACTCACGCCAAGCAGATTAGGGTTTAGGCTTTAGGGTTTATGGTTTAGGGTTCAGGGTTTAGGGTTCAGGGCTCAGGGTTTGTAACCTCTAGACTCAAAGCCCTTCCCTGCAACTTCCACCCTTCGACCCTAAACCCTGCAACCTAAACCTTAAACCCTACACTCATGAGAAGCCAAGAGTCGGAGAAGTCCCGAATCCCCGCGTGCGCCAGGACACGGCCGTGGACCTTTGGGCCCTTGGGACGTAACGCGGCCGCAGAGGGTTTAGGGTTTAGGGCTTATAAGGGCTTAGGGGTTAGGTAGGGTTTAGGGTTTAGGGTTTAGGGTTTAGGGTTTAGGGTTTAGGGTTTAGGGTTTAGGGTTTAGGGTTTAGGGTTTAGGGTTTAGGGTTTAGGGTTTAGGGTTTAGGGTTTAGGGTTTAGGGTTTAGGGATAGGGGTCGGAAGAAAATCACTAATAGCATTCCCTTCTGGTCCCTGTATATTATGATTATACTACAATGATCCCCAAAACCTTATTCTAATTATTAAGGCCCCTGTAGAAGGATTTAGCTTTTAGGGTGTAGGGATTTAGGATTTCGGACTATATAGCTGTGTAGGCCCTAATTAGGGCTTAGGGTTGGGGTTTAGAGTTCAGGATTTGGAGGCGTAGGTCCAAGGGATCGAAACTCTCCAGGTTTCCATGGCAGATTGCTGTCTCCTGGTGGTCTCCGTCGGTCTCTCTCACTCTCTCTCTCTCTCTCTCTCTCTCTCTCTCTCTCCCTCCCTCTCTCTGTTCGTCCTCCTGCCTCAGCAGCACATGGCCGCAGATCCTTAACCTTATACAGTCCTTACAAAATAAAGCAAGACTGCGAGACTCTTCCCGATCTTGATCCCAAAACCCTGATCCCTAAACCCCAAACCCTAAACCCCAAACCCTAAACCCCAAACCCTAAACCCTAAACCCTGAACCCTGAACCCTAAACCCTAAACCCTAAACCCTAAACCCTAAACCCTAAACCCTAAACCCTACCAAGGCTGGTCTATGAGCTTCTAGTCGGACACCAGCCCTTCTGGGGCTCCAAAGAGGCCTCGACATGGGAAATAGGGGCTTGTAGGGCTCCCCCTACACCCTAAACCCTAAACCCTAAACCCTAAACCCTAAACCCTAAACCCTAAACCCTAAACCCTAAACCCTGAACCCTGAACCCTGAACCCTGAACCCTGAACCCTGAACCCTGAACCCTGAACCCTGAACCCTAAACCCTAAACCCTAAACCCTAAACCTACCCTAAACCCGAGCCCGCATGAATAGGATGAGGCTTTGATAGGATCTCCGGGGTTTTGGGGGGTGAAAGCGCTTTAGGGGCTTCGGAGCTTCAGGGATAGGGTCTTTAGGGTTTAGGGTTGAGTGTTTCGAGTTTAGGGCTTATTGGGTTTAGGGTTTAGGGTTTGGGGTTTGGGGTTTGGGGTTTGGGGTCTAGGGTTTGGGGTTTAGGGTTCAGGGATTCAGGGGTTGTTAAGGTCGAGGGATTAGGGGGATTAGGAGTTCAGATCCGCCCTGCGTTTGAGTTTCCAAGCGCAGGTGGACACCTGAGTTCCCCAAAGCAATGGCTCACCCCAGATGATCGCGGAAGCTAGCAGAGTATCTTCGACCACAACAAGTGAGAGAAACCCTAAACCCTAAACCCTAAACCCTAAACCCTAAACCCTACCAGCACTATGAGCCAGCCCTTTGAGGGAAGCCTGCAAAGGCCTGTGGTGGCTTGGGGGCTTCAATGCCCACATGACTGCGTACAGTATATACGTACGCATGTAGATACATAAACCCTAAACCCTAAACCCTAAACCCTAAACCCTAAACCCTAAACCGTATATGTATGTATTAACTACATATATAGACACGTTTATCTATGCGTATACTTAAAGTTAAAGCAACACACACCACGGCAAGTACACATGTCGTGTGCCGCGTGCCGGTGCTCCAGGAGATCAAGAAGAAAGTCCTGGCCGTCGATCTCCGCTACCCACCGAACCTGCTCACGGAGGAGGTGGAGAGTCGCATGTTTGCCTCCTCTGAAACCCTAAACCCTAAACCCTAAACCCTCAACCCTAAACCGTAAACCCTAAACCCTAAACCCCCCTCCGGCCTCCCCACCCCCCCCCCCCCCCCCCGGCCCCCCTCCCCCCCCCACCCCCGTCGCCCGGCCTGGCCCTGACCCACACTTGAGCAGGCCACAGCTGACACCTGTAAATTTGGTTTATTACACCCTCGGCATGCAGTATTAAACAACTTACAGTTATGTTTACCGGCTTAAGGGTAATTGATACTATGTATACACATAGATATCAGATACACCCTGGCGCACAAGTGACTCCACCTTCATCGCTCACGAAGCCTGTGATCACAGAATGTCGGAATGCTCGGCTTCTTGGCATCTAAAACCGGAGTTTCCTGAACCCTAAACCCTAAACCCTAAACCCTAAACCCTAAACCCTAAACCCTAAACCCTAAACCCTAAACCCTAAAAGCCAGGCCATCTCGGTGTTCAAAGGGCTGATGCAGCGAGATCCCCGAAGCCGGGGGACCTGGTCTGGACAAAGAAAGGGCCCAGGGTTTAAGGTTGAAGGGCTTAGGGGATGAGGGCGAAACCCTAACCCTTGAAGCCTCCGGAAAAAGAAAGGGCTCAGGGTTTTAGGTTTAAAGGCTTTAGGGCGAAACCCTACACCCTAAACCCTAATCTGCAGGTACCGGCGTAGGGAGCTTAGGACTGAGGCTTGCTGGGACTTAAGTACCCTCAAATGAGGGTATTTGGGGCAGCTCCAGTGACTTCTTTGGGTGGCAGGGTTTGGGGTTTAGGGTTTAGGGTTTAGGGTTTAGGGTGGTAGGGTTTGCGGTTCAGGGTTTGGGGTGGCCTTTGGGGGTGTTTTCTTTTCTGGCTGTGTTGGGGCGCAACCTGCTTAGAAGGCCTTCCAGCCATAGTCTCGCTTGCTCACTCGTATGAATAGAAATATAAATATAAACATAAATAAACATACATATATATATATTATACATATATTTGTGTGTGTGTGTGTTTCCGGTTGTGCGGGCTTTCTTAGCTTTGTAAGGTTTGGGGTTTCGTGTTTGGGGAAGGTTTGGGGCTTATCAGTTTAGGTTTTGGGCTTGAGGAGGGTTTGCGGTTTCGTGAGGCATCGAAGGGAGAGAGCTCCCTACGACAGTAAGACGTGCCTCCTGCATTCGACGAGTTACGCGGCCACATCTTGGGATGTTCCCCTTATACTAGCAGTCTTTAATAGGGGATTATAGTACCCCCTAATTCTTCGAATCCCTATTAAGGACTAAAAAGGGGGGAACATCCCAAGCCACGTCTTTACACCCTAAACCCCTAAATTATAAAAACCTTAAACCATAAACCCTAAACGCTAAACCCTAAACACTAAACCCCCGTGGGGAGAACGTGCTGGCAGCGGCTACAACTGCAGTAGCCAAGGCCGGTGTCTCTCTTGGCGAGAGCGCGACGGTCATTTCTCCCACTGTGGCCACGCGGTTTAGGGTTTAGGGTTTAGGGTTCAGGGTTTAGGGTTTAGGGTTAAGTGGTTGACGAACGCACATTGCGCCCTCGGATGGTACCATGCGCGATCGCTGAAGAAGAGGAGATGAAGGAGGGGTCGTAGTTGCCGTTTGGCCAGCGGAAGAGGCCACACTTGTGAGCACTACGTTTTGGAGCCCTAAACCCTAAACCCTAAGCCCTAAACCCTAAACCCTAAACCCTAAACCCTAAACCCTAAACCCTAAACCCTAAACCCTAAACCCTAAACCCTAAACCCTAAACCTAAGATTCGATTTAGGGCTTATAGGGTTTGGGTCCACAGCTTGAGGTGCCCCCAGTCGGCTGCACATTCGGCTGCTTTCGTGCTTCCCCAGCCAACCCTTGCTTCCTTCGCGGCAACCGTAAACAATAAACCTCGAGGTTTAGGGTTTAGGGTTTAGGGTTTGGGGTTTCCGTAAGCCCTAAACCTTTTTCAGGGGAATTTCAGGCTGAGGCTGTCGGCGGCGTTTCGGGTAAGGAGGGTTTTGAAATTGGAAACCCGACCCCCTAGACCCTAAGCATACAGCTTTCGGGAAGCTCCGTGGCAAAGCCAGGGCGAACTCCGGCACGCGAGCTTCTGGAAGAGTGTCCATGGGCCACGCGGCCTAACGTTGAGTTTACAAGCCCCTTAACCCTCAACCCTAGACCTACACCCTAAACCCTAAACCCACGTCGTGCTTACTAAAAGAGAGAGAAGAGAGAGAGAGAGAGAGAGAGAGAGAGAGAGAGAGAGATTCCATTAAAAAACACGGAAACAAATCCCCAAAGCCCATGGTCCTCCCTCGGATCGAGCACCTCGCTCAGGAAGAAGGCTTTCCGAGCGTTTGCCTCGAGCTGTTTGTGTTTTGACCCTGACTGATTTCACGAAGAAAACAAAGGAGGCTCCCATACCTTCCTGAATACCAAACAATTGCTGCTGGATGGGCTCACGTTTCACGCCACGAGCAAGCATGGAGCCAAGCTGTTCCGCTTGTTTACAGTTGAGTAAAACGGGTGCACATCGCCTTGCGCGTATGGACGCTCCGCCTTCTGACAAAGCCTTGCGCTCCTGGACCCGCGTCCAGATGGTCAAGGCAAGACGCGGCAAGGATAATGGCAGGGAGTTTTCACGGTCCACTCCCTTGCTTGCGCAGCTCCAGCGTCTCTGCTTTGCACACACGGAGCTCAGTTGCATCTCCCGGGGCACCGTGATGCCAAGAAAGTGCAGGACTTCATTCATCTTGTTTGTGTGTCCTCGCCGTTGCGGAGCTCTGGGGAAGCACATGGCCCTCGCTTATTGGCAGAAAAGCCACTTCTTCAACGTGGGCTTTGCGCCGTTTCCTGGTCCCGGCAGCAATCAATGGAAGGGCTGAATCCGTTCGAAGTGTCGGGTCTTTGCATTAATGAAGCTGCTCTTGCGCCTCCAAACATCAGGGTGCTTATGACAACAGGTTGCTCGACTGCGCAATAGAGGCCCAGCAGACCATCACAGCGTCAAGAACAAGCTACCTGAACATGTTTGGCACGCCGGCGCCAAGGAAAGTACGGCGCTCTGGGTGCAGGAAAGTAATCTGGGCAAGATCTCAGATTTGATTCTTCTGCGTGAGGGTGCGCAAAAAGATATGGAGATGAAGGGGGCGGCGACGCGAACTGAGAAGTGTGGGAAGTCGGGGTTTACGGGCCACAGCTTTGCTAGTCTATCTGATGGCACATGTCCGCCTTCATCAACACGTTGAACTTCCTTCCGCCAACATGCCGAAGGGCCCCGAAGGGCTACGTGTGTGAGAAGGCTCGGCAACAGTATCACTTGGTGAGGCGCATCGAGCTGCTGAAGGCGTGTGCGTATGACAAGGGAACTGGATAGCTCACAGCACAGACCTCAAACCCTGGCAGCCTATAGTGCCCAAACCCTCAGTGCTAAGCACGTTCTGGACGCGGCTTCCTTCATTCTATCCGCTTGTCTCATTTTGAACCTGACAAATCTCCAAATGTACATGTGCAGTCGAATGGACCTGCGAACGACGTGTGCACGTCAGGGTTTTCTACATTCGACCGTGAGAAAGCGTGGCGTCAATAGCCAGATGTGCACCTACTACTGCGACTGCACCGCCTACTACGATTACTTCGACGACTATGACAACAAACTGTGTACATATTTATATACACACACATGCGACTGTTGCAAGGACGACTCGGACTCCGACGAGAAATGGTTTGCTACTCCTTCGACAACGACGACTACTACACTGCTTCGTATCAAAGTTTGAAACGCTGGGCCCTAAACCCTAGACCCTAAACCCTAAACCCTAAACCCTAAACCCTAAACCCTGGTGCAAGACCAGGCTTCGCTCGGCTGTCTCCACGTGGTCGCGTCGTATGTTTTATTGATGGAGAGTGGCAAATGTACAAGCGTGCTCGCAGAGAAAACCCTACAGCCCTAAAGTTTGAAGCCCTAAACCCTGAAACCTTTGGCTGGAGAATCCAAAACCTTACCCCCCCCCTCCCCAAAATCCTACACGAATCCTAAACCCCGAAACCCTCGAAATCCTAAAACCTTGAAGCCCTAAAGCCGTAAGCCCGAACATGTTTTAACTCCAAAGCCCAGAACCCTCCTGAATGCAGCCTTTAACCCTAAAGCCCACGAGGCGGAGAGCCCCGTGGGGGTTTTGGCTTTAATGCAAACCCCAAGGTACCATATCTCCTCTGGATCGCAAGTAAGTGAAGCAGATTTAGTACTGTTTCTGGTGAGTGTATATAAGGTTCCAGCTTTAAATTTGGTGAGTGTATATGTTGGGTGTCTTTTTGGGGTACAAGAAATATAAACCCTACTTCAAGTAGGCCAGGGTTTTGGTTTAGGGCTCAGGGTTTAGTTTAAAACGATTACCATGACTTCAGAAGCCCAGCAGTAACCCTCGTGTTCCGAAGGCTGAGTAGAGCCGCTGTATAGTGCCTGGCCCTGGGCCTTCAGAGCGTTTCAAGTTAGTAACCTGCGCACGCTGAATTTTGAGGCTGTCGACCATAAGCTGAGTACTTTACGGGTCGAGACAGCGCAATGTCAGTCAGTAGCGGATGCTGAATCTATGACGGCGTCTGAGGTTGCGCGGGCGTTGGAGCCCAGAACGCCAGCAGAAGGCTTGCCGAAAGGGGTGGGGTTTGCCCAAGCCCCCCCCCCTCCCCCCTTTTAAACCCCAAGCTCACTCTGTAACTCTGACGGCTACCAACTCTGTTGTCAAGTCCAGTCCGACGTCTTTTCGTCATTGTGAAGGTGCCCGGGAACCTTGAGGGTGTCTCTATCTACCCATGAGTTCTGCACGCAAGGAGCCGTAACAATGTAATTAGGGGATCCACCTGACCTTCCCCTTATCCCTGCGGCTGCAGTTCCACCAGTATAACAATTTCAACTCTCACCCGAAGCCCCTGAACCCCTTTCAACCCTGAACCTAACCTTGCGATGTCGCTCTTTGGAGCAAAAATTGAGCCCAAAAACTTAGGGACTAGGGCTTGCGATTAGACTCTTTGGAGCACAAATCGACCCCAAAATCTTGGGGACCAGGGCTTGCGATGTCACTCTTTGGAGCAAAAACTGAGCCCAAAATCTTAAGGACCAGGGCTTGCGATTTGACTCTTTGGAGCAAAACTGAGCCCAAAATCTTAGGGACCAGGGCTTGCGATTGGACTCTTCGGAGCACAAATCGACCCCAAAATCTTAGGGACCAGGGCTTGCGATTTGATTCTTTGGAGCAAAAAATGAGCCCAAAAACTTAGGGACCAGGGCTTGCGATTTGACTAGGTTGAACAGTAGCTGTGAGTAAAGGGTTAGGGTTTAGGGTTAAGGGATTAGGGTTGAGGGTGTAGGGTTTAGGGTTTAGGGTTAGGGTTCGGGTTTAGGGTATCATTCGGTATCAAAAGCCCGGTCGGGCCCAAGTATCTACTTTCAAGGTACATGGACCCATTGGGGTAAACTCCAAAACCCCCCGACGACCACGCCAAATATCGGCCAACCCCTCAACCCTTACCGCTAACCCCGAAACTAAACCTTAAACCCCAAACCCCAAACCCCAAACCCTAAACCCTAAACCCTAAATCCTAAACCCTAACCTTGGGGGAGGCTGCCGAACGCGGAAAGCTTTTACGCCGCCAGCCCCGCGAATAGGTGGGCCAGGGCTGTTTAAATGGCGGTTTGATAGTTTAGGGTTCAGGAGTTGTTGAGGGTTAGGTGTTTAGGGTTCTGGAGTTGAATTGGGGTGTAGGGGCTGTAGTTCAGGGTTTGGGGTTTAGGGTTAGGGGTTGTAGAGGTTTAGGGGTTTGGGGTTCAGAGGTTTTTCAGGCTTAGTGAGGTTGAGGGGTTGTAGAGCCTCTGGGGTGCAGGGGTTTGGGGTTCCTCTTGCTTGGCTTGTGGGAAGGGATGAGAGGCGTAAGGGCTTTAAGCTTAAGGGTTTAGAGGGGTTAAGGGATATACGTTTGAGGCGTATGTGCCCTCCAGCCGTAAACCCTTTCCGTTTTTGAATCAGCGAGAATTGCGGAGAACGGCTGCTCAAGCATATCTGTGTGCGTGACCACTTCGATTCTGCAGCCTCGTCGAGATTAGCTATAAGTAATCTCGACGGAACATATAGTGTGTAGGGCATAGCACCCCCAAGCCAAAAGGCCCTAAACCCTAATATCAGCAATCTCTTCAACCCAAGATCGCCTTGAGCAACTAACGCCGTAAACCCCCAAAACTTGCAACCCGAAATCCGAAACCCGAAGCCCTGAACCCTGAACCCTGAACCCTGAACCCTGAACCCTAAACCCTAAACCCTAAACCCTAGACCTATAGACCCTAGACCCTAGACCCTAAACCCTGCCCAGGTGCTTCCATGATCGACACCACAGCCAGCCGGGCAAGGGAGGTGTCGCGGCAACCTTCCGCCTCTTGTGGCTTAATTAAGGACTTCAGGAAGCAGGGTTTAGGGTTTAGGGTTTATAGGGTTTGGGGATCTGTGAGTTTGTTGTTTCGGAAAACTTAATGCGGGAACAATTACCTTATCCCCTGAAAATCCCTGCAGAAGTAATCAAGAACTCGAATACGTCTAGCTAAGCAGGGAAGTATCCACCTACTCGAGTACGTCTAGCTAAGTAGGGCTTCCATGAGCCTCAATGCCCCGCAAAACGCTCTTGAAGCCCTGAATCTTGGCCTGCTGACAGGTGAAGACCGAGAAGTACCCCGAACGCCAGCCTGCGGTGCAGGTGCCCGAGTGTCGTGGGCCAACTTCAGTCAGAGCGAGCGAGCGAGCGAGCGAGCGAGCGAGAGAGAGAGAGGGAGAGAGAGAGGGAGTGGAGGGGGAGGGGGAGAGGGAGACGGAGAGGGAAAGGGCGAGGGAGGGGGGGGAAGGGAGAGGGAGACAGGCTGATGGATGGATCAAGTATTTGAATTCAATGGAGGACCGAACACTGCTTCAATCCGAGCCGTGACTTGAAGCTGCATCTTTGAAAGGGGGGAGAGTAAGGAAGTATCAAATGCACCAACTATAGCAGGTACCTTCTTGGTAGGTGCAGTTTTTGTCCTGGTTCCCCAGGCTTCTGTTCCTGGCATCGTGCTGTGGTGTTGCGGGGAAGCACCTGGCCCATTCACTCCCAACCTCCCCTTCCTCGAAGGGTTTGGGGTTTATATAGGGTTTATAGTTTGTAGGATTTATAGGGTTTGCAGGGTTTTATGGGGTTTATAGGCTTGGGTTTAGAGGGTTTATAGGGTTTAGGGTTTAGGGTTGCTGGACCCGCACCCGCACGACGTAGACAAGGGAACGAGAGAAAGAGAGACACAAGGAGAGACTGTAAGAAGAACTTTAGAGAATACTGAATCACCCTCAAACATCCCTAGGCCCTTAACCACTAAACCCCTCAACCCTAAACGCTTAAACAGCCCCGAGCCCTATACCCGCACACTCGGACAGGCTGTGCGCAGTGGGCCGCTGAGATCGCAGCTGCCGTCTCAGGCGCGGGTTGAGATGAGAATCTCAAAGCCCGTAGGGTGCAGGGGCTCAGGTTGATCTGTTTAGGGCTTAGGGTTTAGGGTTTAGGGTTTAGGGTTTAGGGTTTAGGGTTTAGGGTTTAGGGTTTAGGGTTTAGGGTTTAGGGTTTGGGGGCTGTAGGGTTTAGGGTTTAGGGGCTTAGAGTAGTCTTTTCCTGCAAGACATTGCAAACATAAGTAGGGCAAACTCCTTTTTTGGGTACTCCCTGCCTCCATTTTTCCCCGTAGAAACCTACCTAAACCCTAAACCCTTTTTGCTATAAACCCTCAACCCTCACCTTAAACAGATCGGCTGAAGTTTCAAAGGATCCGCAGGAAAGCAATGATGGCCCAGGGCGTTTCGGGTTTATAGGGTTCGGGGTTTAGGATATCGGTTTAGGGATAGGGTTCGGGCTTCGGGGATTGCTTGGGAATAATCGGGTTATATGGGATTGCAAGGCGTCCGGATGTCCAAGAGTTGGAGGAAGCAAGGAAGAGAGCCTAAACCCTAGACCCTAAACCCTAACCCTAATCCCCGAACCCTATAAAGCCGAAACCCTAGACCCTAAAACCTAAACCCCCAAAACCCCGAACCCTATAAACCCGAAACGCCCTGTGATTCCGTGAGCTCCTTCGGCCCTGCACCTGTCGATGGACATTGTGCAGAGTTGAAGGTTCTACACAGATTGTTGGCACTGGCCGGCACCCTACACACACACACTCTCTCCCTCTCTCTCTCCCTCTCTCTCTGTCTCTGTCTGTCTGTCTGTCTGCCTGTCTGTCTGTCTGTCTGTCTGACTGTCTCTCTCTCGCTCTCTCGCTCTCTCTCACTCTCTCCAGCCAGACCAAGACAGTTCGGAACCTCTTTGGGGGGCTTTGTACCTCTCTCTAAAGCGACAACAACACACTTCGTCCTTTTAGGGCAGCTCTCTCTAGAATGACCAAGCTAAGCAGCTAAGGAAACACACTCTCAACAGATCCACTCAGCCCTACATGAGCCCAAGCCCCAGAGCCTCAAACCATGGAGTCAACCCGCCCTAAGCCTTGTGGAGTAGTGGGGGGTGCTAGGCTTTGGGGTTTAGGGTGCAGGGTTTAGGGTTTAGGGCTTGCCCCCGCTGAACCCTCCCTCCCTTCAGAACCCCCCCACACCCCGAAGTTGGATTATGAAGCTCGGGCCGAAAGCAATGTCAGGTAGTGGCGCCAATCATCCGGTCCCTCGTCGATGTTTCTGCTGCCATACCGGACTTCAGGGTGAATGGCTGGGCTTTGGAGTACTATACTTTAATACTTTTTTTGGTTTAGGGTTCCCATTACAGCTAATTATACCTAAAAAGTATATACTTTTTTTCCTGGGTCTACTCCAGAGGTAAGAATGGCTAGTATAAGGTGTTCGGCGGTTAGGGTTTATGTGGAGCTGCCATGATTTATACGTCTTGGGGGCGGGAGGAGGAAGATGTCGGATTCTAGTCTGGGATTTTCGTGGGTAGACACTGACCCGCAAACTCTGCTCCTGAAGCCCTAAACCCTGAATTCTGGTGGCTCCCCACTCAGAGAGTCTCAACAGCAAGCTGTCAGCACGAAAAAAGCCGAGAAAACAACCCTGAACCCTTAAACCCTACACCTTGAAACCCTAAACCCTGAACCCTGAAACCCTCAACCCTTGGGAGATGTGCAGGTCCCAGGGACACCCAGCCCTCTTAACTAACGTCCCTTGCAGGATGCTTGACACCCTCTACACCCTAAACCTTGAAATCTAGGACCTAAGCCCTGCAATGAGTTAAAAACCTGAACCCTAAACCCTAGACTCTACACAATGCAAGCCCTAAACCCTAAACCCTAAACCCTAAACCCTAAACCCTAAACCCTGAAGTCTCTACGATGGAAGCCCCAAGCTCTTTTCCCCAGACTCTTCCAAGGCCCCCACCGGAGGCGCCACAGTCCTCGCCTGCACCACTCTCTGCAGCGCTGTCGCGGGGCAAAGAAGGGTTTAGGGTTTAGGGTTTAGGGTTTAAGGTTCAGGGTTCAGGGTTCAGGGTTTAGGGATTCTCAGGGTTAGGTTTGGGGCTAAGCTCGGCTACAGCCGTAGAATCTTAAACCCACGTAAGCACTGCATAAAGGCTCCCGCGCAATTCCTATTAGGGTAGTATTACAAGAATGCAGTTCGGAAAACATTTCAGACCCCGCACCAAAAAACAATGCATTTTAGAGCCTAATCCCTAAACCCACAACTCGCAAGCGCAACCCCTCAACCCCGAGCCTTAAACCCTGGAAGTAATGGGGCGGGGGGGGGGGGGTGGGGTGGGGTTTGGGGTTCAGGGCTTCTTCAGGGGTTTAGGGTCTGAAGCCTTCAAACCACCTATAAGCTCTAATTAAGCTCTAGACCCTGTAAACCCTAAACCCTACCCCAAGCCCTAAGACCGCAAGCTCCCAGCTTTCAGGAACGTGTGTAAAAACTCCCCAAGCAAGGGGGGGGGGGGTGTGATTTAGACCTCAAACCCCTCAAAGCGCTCAAACCCTGTAAACCTTGAACCACTGAACCGCCTAAACCCTAAACCTAAACCCGGAACCCTAACCCCTAACCCCCCAACCCCTAAACCCTAAACCCTAAACCCAAAATCCTAAATCTGGATCTCCCCGAGGCCTAATTCGATGACGTCAATGTTCTTTCCCCAGGACTGCGACAGAGTTTGGAACTCTTTGGCCCCCTTAGGGTTTAGGGTTTAGGGTTTAGGGTTTAGGGCCCTTGAACTAAACTCAGAACTTTGCGATCTATGTGTGTGCTGGAGGGTTTCAGGCATGAGGGTCTTGCGTTTGGTTAGGGTTTCGGGTTTAGGGTTTAGGGTTTTAGGGTTTAGGGTTTAGGGTTTAGGGTTTAGGGCTTAGGGTTTAGGGTTTAGGGCCTATATAGGCTGGAGTGAAGCGTTGCGCAGGAGCCGTTGATACCACCACTCGGTGTGGAGGCACAAGTCGTGTCCTTGGACCGAGTTCCTTTCAGGTTGCTGTTTTGGGCTTTGAGTGTCCCTAAACCCTAAACCCTAAACCCTAAACCCTAAACCCTAAACCCTAAACCCTAAACCCTGGAGGTTTACAGTAGGTTCGGGGCTCTGAGGGCTTTGGGGGTCAGGGTAGTTAGATAAAGAGGCTCCATGGACCCTGTGTCTTGGAGCCGACCCTAAACCCTAAACCCTAAACCCTAAACCCTAAACCCTAAACCCTAAACCCTAAACCCTAAACCCTAAACCCTAAACCCTAAACCCTAAACCCTAAACCCTAAACCCTAAACCCTAAACCGAACACTCCCAAACCCCAAGGCCCCTTTCAACCTTCACGTTCCCGTCGTCCCTGAATGAACCGTTCGTGCTGGGCATGTGCGGAAGTCGAGTGCCAAAGCCTCACACGCCCTCCTTGAACCCTAAACCCGATAAAGCCTATAAACCCTGTACAAAACTCAATGAAACCCTAAACCCTACAAACCCTGTACAAGCCCCAGTTAAACCAAAAAGTCCCTATAAACTCTGCATCAACCCTAATTAAAGCCTAAACCCTTCTGACCCTGTATCAACCTTACTCAAACCCTAAATTCTACAAACCCTGAACCCTAAACAACCCTAAACGCCTTCACCGGCTCGCGCCCGCGGAGCGCAGGTCTTTCGACAGGGGCCGCTTCTGCCCAGGCACAGGGCATTTCGGCTATTACGGTTTAGGGTTTAGGACTTAGGGTTGGGGGGGGGGGGGGGGGGCGAATCTCGGATGGGGCTTTAAGATGTACAGGCTCGATAGGAGATTTTTGCCGTACCAATCATATCTTTTGCTCATTCTTGCACATAGCAATATGATTAAACGACCCGAAATACCTCCTCTGGTCAAATATGCAACTGTATTGCATGGGGGCCGCGTTGTGTTCTGTGTCTACAGCTTTCCTTGGGTGCAGGCTTCAAGGTTGCGGCCTTAGGGGTTAATTCCCCTCCACCCAAAGGGTCCCTAAACCCTGTAACCCCTAAAAATCCCGAAGCCTAAGCCCTAAACCGCATCACATGAACGGCTGTTTCTTTCGGAGGACGGTTCGAAAAATGCGACGATGCCGACGAATTGGTACCCTTGTTCACTAGTGTCTTCACTCCGCCGAACCCAAAACGAGAATCCTTCTTGGTTTTAAGGTCTTGGGGAATGTTGCAACACCCACAAGCCCCAAACCCCCCTCAACCCTTAACCCTAAACCATAAACCCTAAACCGTCTGCTGCCGCTTTCTTGGCACCAAGCTCTTTCACTCTTCGCAGTCTCATCTTTTTAAGCGGCATACTTGTGCAGGCGTATATCTGTGTATGCAAAAACACATAGAAAAAACTGTATACATACATTGTATGTATTTCACATTTGTCATTACTTTTATGATTTTCTACAGGGGTTTATGGTATAAAGTTTAGGGTAGCAACTTCCCACCCCCAGAATTTGAGGTTTGGGGTGTCGGGGGGTGTCCCCTAAACCCTAAACCCTAAACCCTAAACCCTAAACCCTAAACCCTAAACCCTAAACCCTAAACCCTAAACCCTAAACCCTAAACCCTAAACCCTAAACCCTACCCTAAACCCTAAATCCGAAATTACGGCAAGCTCTGCACCAAATGGTCTGTGATAGGCCCTGCCTTCATCCTCCAGTTCTGCCGTTCCAGAACAATCAGGCAGGGTTTAGGGTTTAGGGTTTAGGGTTTAGGGTTTAGGGTTTAGGGTTTAGGGTTTAGGGTTTAGGGTTTAGGGTTTCGGGTTTCGGGTTTCGGGTTTCGGGTTTCGGGTTTCGGGTTTCGGGTTTAGGGCCCACACAGGGCCCAAGCGACCCAAGCTGGGGTGTGAGGCTTCGGGCTTCAAGAGCCCTAGACGGCCCCGACAAGCCGTGGAGTCCAAGCCATATTATAAAGGCCAGGTTTAAATTGGGTTTAGGGTTTAGGGTTTAGGGTTTAGGGTTTAGGGTTTAAGGGGACTCGGGTTTAGGGGACTCTCCTTACGTTATGAAGCCCTTAAGAGGGGGGGCTTCATGGGGGTGTAGGTACCTAGGGGTTACATACGCCCCTTGAACACCCCTCCCTTGAGGACCCTGTAGTTAATCCCTAAACCCTACGCAGGCTCTGCGCAAACCCAAAGAACCCTCTCATCCCTACCTGCCAAAAGAAATATTCACCCCATGACCAAACCCTGCAAACCTCCTTGCGCTTTAGGGTTTAGGGTTTAGGGTTTTAGGGCTTTAGGGTTTAGGGTTTAGGGTTAGGGTTTAGGGTTTAGGGTTTAGGGTTTAAAGGTTTAAGGTTTAGGGTTTAGGGCTTCTGCGCTTCCAGGCCCCATTCCAGATCCTTCCTGGGCAGCCGGCGCGCCTTGCGCCCGGGGCTCCTGGCCTGGCCCTGGGCACAGCAAGGTGGCTTTGTAACCCTAAGCCCTAAACCCAAAACCCTAAACCCTATACCCTAAACCCTAAACCCTAACCTTAAACCCTAAACTAGCTTCGGTTTCGGGTTAAGGGCTCGGGTGGGGTGAGGGCCTGAGGTTTAGGCTGCGGAGTTTATGGGGCTGAGAGTCCCAAAAAGATGTTTCCGCGCCTTTCCAGACTGTTGTTGCTTCAGGTTCTTGGTGCCTGCATCTAGGGTACAGGGTGTCGGGTTTAGGGTGTGCCTGTATTGAATACGTCGTGTCCCCACAGCAGTTAAGGACAGAGACATATTCAGCAGGAAATTCGACTACATCTCCAGAAAACAAGAACTTCTATAATACAAGAGAAACAGCGCATGGCTATCTTATGATCTCCTTGTTAGAAATGCCTGGATTCCAGAAGTGGTATACCCTGGAGTCAATATTGTTCCTGCCTGAATTCGTTTACTCTCTCATACCTTTTCCGTATCCTTTCTGCAATCTCAGTACAGGATGAATATGTCCACCATTATCCACATCTTTCGTGATTTTTGTGACCTTCAAGCGCAGGACATCCTGTATTTGGATGAAAAAGCTCTGGACTATCTTCATGCCTAGCATCGCTTAAGTTTTGGACGACAACTCTAGATCCGAGATCTTCTGAACAGACATGAAGGCTATCCGGCTTTTTTGATTACAGCTTTCATGCTTCATTGACATGCTGGTACACTTTTTTAGTAGTGGGTGATCTTCGTCCTAGTGCACTTTTTCTGTTTTGCTGGAAGTAGGTGTCCATGCCCCCATGACTTAGTTCTCAGAAGATCTAAGCCCAGTCTTGTGTGGCTTCAGAGTGCCAGCTCCTGCTTCATACCCTAGGGTTTAGGGTTTAGGGTTTAGGGTTTAGGGTTTAGGGTTTAGGGTTTAGGGTTTAGGTTTTAGGGTTTAGGGTTTAGGTACTTAGCTACAAGCCCTGAACCTTACATCCGGAACCAGCTCCTGGCTCTGTCCCGCCACAGGTAGCCTAAAGATGGCTGAGCTGGAAATTGCTGTGCCCGGAAGGCGACTTGTTCGACTCCCGCTTGTTTGCAAGACTTGGAACTTGGCAAACTTGGTAGCCCAGAGGCACCCTTTACCCTTTTTGTTTAGGTTCTGGGTTCACTTTATAAAGTAGCCATCCCAAAAAAGGGTGCCCTTCTTGTAACATGGTTACTGGGCTACCAAGCTAAACAAGCTTCAACCCCCACAGCTGCCTCTACCCTCTACAGCCTACATAAGCCCTGAGCATATTTGGCTGCCCGCTCAAGCCCAAGCTCCCCCAAACCCTAAACCCTAAACCCCAAACCCCAAACCCTAAACCCTAAACCCTAAACCCTAAACCCTAAACCCCAAACCCTAAACCCTAAACCCTAAACCCTTGCACAAGCCTGGCTGCAAATTCAGCGCTGGAGCATCGAGACCGCGAGTCCATCCGGCCTTCGCAGGACTTAGCTCCTGAACGTTTAGGATTTAGGGCTTGGGGTTTAGGGTTTCGGGTTTAGGGTTTAAGGTTTAGGGTCTAGGGTTTAGGGGTTGAGTGCGCGGCCGAGTTTTAAATCCTCGGGATGAGACCCAGAGACTTGGTTTTGTATAGGTTGCTGAGGGATTCGGGCATAGGATTGGCCTTCATCCTGACCTCTACCAGGGTTCAGGGTCCAGGGTTTAGGGTTTAGGCTGCACGTCTTATACGGCTATAGGCTTTGGGATGTTAGGCTTGAGCAGCAGGGTCTTCGGAAAGCTAAAGGAACACAGCGTGAGCATGATGCGGATGCGCGTGGTCCTGCGAAGCTCCGTGCGGACTCGTTGACCTACACTGGGGCCCTAACCACTTAACATTTCTAGACCCCTAAAAACCCAATAAAACCCAAAGCTCTAAACCCTAAACCCTAAACCCCAAGCCCTAAGCCCTAAGCCCTAAGCCCCAAGCCCTGGGCCCTAAACCCTAAACCCTAAACTCTAAACCCCAAACCCTAAACCCTAAATAAACCCTTTAACCCTTTAACCCTTTAAACCCTAAACCCTAAAGCTAACCCTCCAGCAGCTCCGCATGATGGCTCGAAGGTGAGCTCGGTTGGGGGTGTAGGGTTTAGGGTTTAGAGTTTAGGGTTTCGAGTTTAGGGTTTGGGGTTTAGGGTCTGGGGTGTAGGGTTTAGAATTTAGGGTTTAGGGTTTGGGGTTGAGAATTTAGGGTCTAAGTTCTTGTTTCGTTTAAGGCTTCCTCCCGATTCCCCCACCTGCCCCACCCGACTTTGGACGATGCCCCTATCCTGCGGATGGCCGACGAGGTTTTCCAGCAGGAAGATTCTCGCCCCTTTAAGTAGAGGAAGGCTGAGGCGTGCTTCAAGTTTTCGGTTTAGAGTGCGGAGGGACGGTGAGTTGAACAGCAGCTGAATCCACCCCAAATCCGAAACCCTAACCCCTAAACCCTAAGCCCTAAACCCAAAACCCTACTATCTCCATCCCAAGTTTCTCAAGCCTTTTCCAACCTCAAGCCTGGTAAAGCCTTGCACCCCAGGCCTTCGAGTGCGGACCCGAAAAGGTTTAGGGTTTAGGGCTTAGGGTTCAGGATTTGTTGGTTTAGGTTTCAGGGTTCAGGGTTTCGGTTTTAGGGCTTAGGGTTTAGGGTTTAGGGCTTAGGGTTTAGGGTTTAGGGTTTTAGGGTTTTAGGGTTTAGGGTTTAGGGTTTTAGGGTTTTAGGGTTTTAGGGTTTACTGTCGTCTTTGAGTTCGGCATCGACCCGAGACCTCCAGCGGAAGAAGCCGAAGCCCTAGAACGGAGTAGGTCGGCGTTGATAGCCCTAAACCCTAAACCCCAAACCCTAAACCCTAAACCCTAAACCCTGAACCCTAAGTTAACAGAGGGGGGAGTCCCTGCTTCCTCGAAGTCCGCGGCCCGGATGAGGCAGTTGTTCACCAATTCGGTTGCATCAAAAAGGCGTGGAGTTAGTGTTTAGGGTTTAGGGTTGAGGGTTTATCAGAACTAGGCCCTTATTCCCCTTGTTTTAGGGTTTAGGTTCCCTTATGGGCCCCTTCATAGCAAAGACACCCTTTGTGTTCCTAGGTTACGAAGTCTAGATAAGATTATGACAAGGGGCCTAAAGCCTATACTGTTTCTGAGAGGTTTATACAAACAGCACGTACCCACCTAGCACTGCCGTCTGAATCCGGCTTAGGGAGTTTAACGTTTTCGTGTTTAGGAACCCCAAAATTTGTCACCGACTTTTTGAATCTTCCGGCCTTGCCAGGGAGGAGGGGCCATACCGCAAAACTTGTTTTGGCAGCCCCACGCGTACTTGGTATGCACAGCAAAGCCTTCGCTAAGAGTGCGCATTTTTTCAATGGAGCCCCAAAAGCTGTGGTTGAGGGTTCACCAGCGTGTTCTGTTTCCTCGCGTGTTACTATACGCCTTTTGCACGCGTTAATCTGCGGGCGTTATTTGTCCTTATTCGGTTCATGTTTAAATATATATATATATACATACATACATACATACATACATACATACATACATACATACATACATACATACATACGTACATGTGTGTGTGTGTTTCTTTATTGATTTGTTTACATATACATATTTATATGTATACATAGCATCCAGAAAGAGGTTCCGTTTTGGCTCTACATGGGGCTCGCTGAGCGGGTGAGGAGCTGGACATGCTCGTCTATACAGATTCCATCCTCGACCCGCAAGGCCCTGTGATAGCTGTAGTCAGGTCTTTACAGAAGGTTCCCAAACAGCCTAAACCCTAAACCCCAAACCCCTAACCCCTAGACCCTAAACCCTGAAGCCTATGTTTATCGTGTTCACAAGCAACATCAGCCCCAGAGTTCATAAGGTTGAGAATCCAAACAAACCCTACGAAGGCTTTCTCACCCAAACCCTACACCCTAAACCCCAAACCCCTAACCCCAAACCCTAAACCCCACGTGCCCTGCCGCCAGCGTTTTGGCCTAAGGGTCGCATGAGCCTTCCTCGCTGTGCTTGTCCCAAACGGCTTGTTTAGGGTTTAGGGTTTGGGGTTTAGGGTTTAGGGTTTAGGGTTTAGGGTTTAGGGTTTAGGGTTTCGGGCTTGCTTTGCACGAGGCTTGCCGTTGCAGCATCCGTGTCAGATGTCCATGAAACACCGCGCACCTCGGGATGACCTGTTTGGTAGCCAAGGGGTATTTAGGCCCGGGGCTTGAATAGCTTAGGTTCGTGGATATCAGCGATTATGAGCCCTTGCTGAAGTTTGAAGTCACTCTCATTTCAGGGCTGAGGCCGTCGTATCTTTTCTTCGTAGGGCTTCGCGCATCCAGCGTGCCCACGCGTTATGGGGCAGCTCGTCTCGATGAAGCTGCCTGACGTGCCCGATGTTCTCCGATTGGAGGCTTCACTTCTCATGGAGTTTGAAGCGCCATTTCCCCAAAAAACGGCTTAGCCCTAAACCGTATACGTATATGTATATATATATATATATATTTATGTTCAAACCTAAACCCTTAGCCCTAAATCTTATCAACCCGAAAAACCCTGAGTAAGAACAAAATGCCCCCGTGGAAAAGAAGAAAACATATTAATAGCCCCCATACTACCCTTAGTCAACAATAGTATTTTCTTTTTTTTTTGGGGGGGGGGGGGGGGGGGCGGGGCGGGGGGAAGCTGCAGAGCCTAAACCCTACACCCAGACCCAAGTTTACAGAAGCGACTCACAACCGAAGTCCACGAACGGAAACAGCGACGTTCTCAATGCGCTTTTTGAGCTTCCCAACCCCTGTCGGGCACCCGCAAGACCCCAAAAAACCGAAGAACCCTAACATCTCAAAAAATGAGCACTCAAAGCTCCAGAAAGCCCCCCAAAAGCCTCTCCAACAAAGCCTCAAGAAAAAAACGAAAAAACCTGAACAACCTGTAAAGCCCCCAAAACAAACGCCTCAAAGAGCCTACTGGCCGCAACATGCCCTTGAAAACCTTATGAAGCCCAAAAAGCGTTGAAGGCCACCCCCAAAAGCCCTTCAAAGCCCTGCCAAAGCCAGCAAAGCCTAAGCCACCCTAAACCCTAAACCCTAAACCCTAAACCCTAAACCCTAAACCCTAAACCCTAAACCCTAAACCCTAAACCCTAAACGCTGCGACAGCAGACCTGCACTTCGGCTGGGGCCGTCGACAAGCGCGCCCAGCAAGTTCTGGGCAGGGGGGTGTTTGGGTGTTTGGGTGTGGGAGGGGTCAGGGTTCTAGGGTTAGGGTTTAGGGTTTAGGGCGTAGGGTTTAGGGTTTAGGGTTTAGGGTTTAGGGTGTAGGGTTTAGGGTTTAGGGTGTAGGGTTTAGGGTCTAGGGTTTGGGGTTTAGGGTTTAGGGTTTATTGTTTAGGGTTTAGGGCTCCAGTTGCTTATTCAGTGGAAGTCCAAGGGCTGTCGCGCTGAATTTCTAAGTCCCCGAACCCTAAACCCTAAACCCTGAACCCTAAACCCTAAACCTAAGTTTTAAACCCTAAACCCTAAACCCCCAAACCCTAACCCCATACAACCGAAACCCTCAACCCTAAGCCCTAAAGCCTATCAGCTTCAAGCCACAAGCTGCTGTGTAAGTCTCAGGGTGATAGTGTCACAGACTTGTCTCGAGGCCCGCTGAGGGGACAAAATCGTGAGTCACACTGAAACCCATGACTATCAGCCCAGGCTTTAGTGTATGGAAGGCCCCGAAACCCGAACCCCAAATCCTAAACCCAAACCCTACACCCTAAACCCCAAAACCCAAACCCTAAACCCTAAACCGCAAACCCCAAACCCTAAACCCCAAACCCTAAACCCTAAACTCAAGACTGAACCAACACCCGCTGGGCCCGGAAGTGGGGAGAGCCATCAAGACAGGGGTGACGAGATGACTCTGGACCTTCAGATCCTTGGGCTGCACTGGTTTAGGGTTTAGGGTTAGGGTTTGGGGTCTAGGGTTTGGGGTTTAGGGTTTGGGGTTTAGGGTTCAGGGTTTAGGGTTTAGGGTTT